TGTATGCGCGAGGGGGGGACTGGGGGAGGTCAACTGTGTAGATCCCATTCCCTAGCACCCCACAAGGTACAGAGTGGAAGCAACCCCTGGGTCCCCTCTGCTTCTCTCTACCCTTGGGGTCCCCGTCTTCTTCACTTATACTGTGGCTGGGAGAAGATACAGCACTATCAGATCAATCAATGTGTTGGGATTGCTGTTGGTTTGTTGTTGCTGCTGCTGCTGTTTTAAGTAAAATCACTGCGTCGCCGAATCCTAGATTATTAGAGAAAGGCCAGTTATGGGGGGTAGAGAGCAAGTGCACCCCCTCGGAAGGAGAGCGGGGGGCGGCGCGTGGCCTGGCGGACGCCTGGCGAGACTCGGCGAGGCCCGGTGGAGTGGCTGGATTATGTAAGTAACAGCCCTCCCGGCGCTGGACACCATCTGTTAATTTCTTGATATTGGAAAGTTGGGTGCCTGAGGCTAAGCCAAGGCTGGCTGCGAAGGGCTCCCAGCCTGGCTATTTCTTATTCCTCCAGGGCAGGAAACTGTACCTCCCTTGATTATTATTATTATTATTATTTTACCCAGTGCCATCAAATCAAGGAGCAGTCTGACCCCTGGATCACCCTCAACCCCCACTCCTAGAGGAGTGGACTTTGCCTTGTGTTTGGGGGGTAAGGGGGGGGCAGGGACGAGAGATTTTCTCGACGACATCTTATAGTAGCGAGTCCTTCTGACAAATCCATACTTTTCTGACAGATCTGCGGTCTTTGGGGTAAAAGGAGAGGGGGGGGGACTCTTAATTGGGGAATGGGGGCTTAATTGTTTTCTTTTAAAAATACTACTTTTGCTGTCAACACCCCTGTCTGCAGTTTCTCTTAAGGGTTATATTTCGACTTTCTTTGGAGTGATTCGTTTCTGTTTACTTTGAAAGCTGTTGGTTAAACAAACATCACTCAGAGGCTTCTCAACAGTGGGGTTCCCCAGAGAGAAAGCCCGCAGCTGCTTCTTGCTACTGATCTTGCGGGATTTCACTTTCGGCCCCACCATTCAGAGCAAATCCAGGTTGGGTTTGGCGTCACGCTGGGCACGGGGGAGGAGAGTGGGAGAGGCCGAGTGTCATTCTGCCTGTGGGCTACCTGCTGCAGGCCCGGTCTGCTCCCCAGAGTTGGTTTTTCTTTCTCTTCCCTTCCTCAGGCTGGTGGCAGTGGTGGCCACGAAGGGGTGAGTTTGGTGGTTAGGTGGCAGCGAGGGGTCTCCGGCATCGTTTGCCGGAATTCGCGCCCCTGTTTGCTTCTAGGCTGGGTGTCTTAGGGTTTGATGAGGGCTGGATGTAAGTTTTTAAATTACATACACGCACCATCTTCCCTCCTACCCCCCACTAAATGGCTTTACGGAAGAAGGGGGAGGGGCGCACCAAGGAACTAGCCCGGCGAATGCGTTTAACCCAGAACCAGATGCACAAGGGATGACCGCAGGTTGGACTCCGAACACACACAGATCGCCCTGCAGATCAATAAACAAACGCAACCTGCACGGGGGACGTTCTGTGTGAAGCTGGATCAGAACTTGAGTTAACTTCTAAGTTGCTAGGGTGGCGTTGGCCACCGGGAGGAAGGAGGGAATGAGTTGACCCCGGCTAGGTTTGGCCTCAACGTTCACAGATGGAGCCATTATCTATGCGACTTCTGCCCCCAACGGATCGCGCTTTTTTTTTCCCCTCCCCTATCAGAAAACAAACCAGAAGTCGCCCGAGATAGGGGTCTTGGGCCTGACGCCTGGCTCCAGAGCCCCCAGAAACCCAAGAGAGCATCCTAGCTGGGACCAGGGAAGTGGCCTGGCCGCGACAGTCGCGGACCAGACAGACACCCGCGTCGGCTGCTTACAAAGCTGGATTGCAGACCCAGCTCGCTCGTCCAGCGTCGCGCGCGCTCCGGTTCCAAGGAGCCGCTCCTGCGCCCCAATGCCGCCTGCGAATTGCCACCGCCGAACAGCCGCGAAGCCTCTGCCGCCCAGGCTGGGGGGGGGGGGGGGAGGGAGGGGGGGGGGTGAAGTGTTTCCTTGTTCTCCCAGAGGGTTAGCTAGACTTCAAGTCCGGCCTGCCTTTGCCTCCAGCGTGGTAGAGGTCTTACCGTGGTGCGCAGGGGAACTTTTCCCGCCGCCTGATCCTGTCAGGTGTAGTGTGTTCAAAACGTGCAACAGAGTGCTAGGTACAATTGACCCAAAGTTATGAGCTGAGGTTGGAGCTATTTTCTTTCCCCTGGCCTCCTTTCTTCCCCCCTCTCCCCCCCCCCCCCCCACGCATCCCCTTTTCCTTCCCTGGTCTCCTCCCTTTTGAGTCTTAAACTGAGCAGATTGTTTTAGGGTGTAAAGAACATATATTCTTTACCCATTTATTTGTGGACTGTCGCTAAGTTATTTGTGCAAACAGGTTTTAAAAGAAGAAAAATAATGAGAAAGAGCAAGAAAACATCCTCAGAACCCAAATTTCCCAGCACAATACACCCGCTTACCTCGAAGGGACCATGCTGTATCTAATGAGCGTGAGGACAGCCTAAACTGTCACATCCCTGTAAGAACACTTGATACAACCGCGGATCACTGGAGGGGTGAGCCGTGTGTGCCTGTGTCTGGGTTACCTCCACAAAGGACCGGAGGAGTGTCTAGGGGAGATGAGTGGGGGAAGGGGTAAAAAACGCTGGGGATGCACCTATAAGTCTTTTCCCATCTGGCTGACCTGATTTTTCCCCCCTTCCTCTTCCGTGCCAAAAGTTTGCTACAGGATACATACTAACATCGTTATTCAGAGACAAGACTTAATATCCTGTTTACAGTTGGATACATTTGAGGGTGAAGTTGTAAATATCCCAGAGAGGTGTGTGTCTGGGGGAGAAGATGTTGGTAGTGGTTGGCTAGTGTCCTTGCAACACATCTCATAAATACTGTTGTCACAACGCGGTGCGACCTTTGATCTGATTAAATTCAAGGGACACGCAAAAAAGGCTTCTCCCTATCCTGCCTTATAAAAAGAAAGAAAAAGGAAAGGAAAAGATCCCCTAAATATTGAGCATTGAGTCTACTTACTAGGTATGCATGTTTCTGCTTCGAAGCTCACGACTAGTCCCAGCTTTTTATAGGATCTTTAAGTCATAAAGCGGCTGTTTTATTAAATGCTGTTTACTATGCCCAGGGAAACCTTCATGCTGCGGCTGGATGGAGGCTGTCTCTTTAGCATTTGTTACTCGCAAAGCTCAAAGAGCTCTTAAAAAAAATAATCTGAAGAAATGTTGTCGGATATTTTTCACCCACGAAATGTCAAATCAAAATGAATTTTCTATGGCTTCACCTTAGAGCCTGAGATTTTAGCGTCTGAAATTTTCTTGCCTAATAAACTTTAAAGTTTGTAACCCTGACATTAAAATGCTGTAAATCCTATGTTGGACTGTTTTTAGCTCCCTTTGGTCATTCAGATTGAGGGAGAGGAAATCGGAAGATAATGTTTGTGACATGTATGTGTGTACATATATACATATGTATCTATACATACATTGATCTCTCTATCTATATATCTAGCTGGGGTACCCATAACCCATATAATATTGTTAAAGGTGATCGAAGGTGAATATGATTCTTACTAATCATTTTCACAGGTAATTGGGACTTAGTGGGGGTTGTTTTGTTTTAACATCAGATTCATTGGACCGAGGGTGAAACATCTTCCACCTATGATTTTAATTCTAAACCAACCTGTATTTTATCCTTCATCTACTCTTTAAAAGAGTGGCATACATATATATATACTGCCTCGGAGATCGTTTAAAAAGTAGAATGATTTGCGCATCTCTCCCCCTCACTCCCTCCCTCCCTTTATGCAACCCTCTAAGCCCCCCCCCAACACACACCGAATACACTTTTCCCTCAAATATACTTTTCCATGTCTTTCTCTACCCAAGTCCAGGGAGCGCTCCCTCGCTTAGCGGCTCGGTGAACTTGATCAGCTGTATCAGGGAAATGAAAAAAAAAAAAAAAAAAAAAAAAAACAGAAAGACCAGCGTCCTGGAAGATCAAGTGTGTGCCGGGCGCTGCTCCGCAGAGTGCCCGCAGATGGCTCGCTGCGGCTCGGGAGCGGAGATCCCGGCGCCCCGAAGCTATGGCTGGGCGGGGGGTGGGGGGTTGGGGGTGGGAGACCAGGGATGGAGGCCAGGGATGGATGGAGCGGGGTGGGGGAAGCGCAGGAGGAGGGGGCTCTCTCCTTTTCTGTCCTCCCAGCCCCTCACCCCTCCACCCCTTTTCTATATATATGGTTTTTTTTTTCTCCCTCCCAAGTTCTCTTGCCTGGCTATCCCCCCTTGAATCCGAAGGCGCCTCGCGATTGGGTGCTGGGGCCGGGTACGTCAGTCAGACTGTGACGTGCTGTCTTCCTGTTTCCTTCAGCTGTGTCTTAAAGTAAATCTTGTTGTGGAGCGGAGCCCTCAGCTGAGAGAGCGCTCGGAAATCATTCACCATTGCCACCGCGGAGAGCAGAGCGGCGCAAAAGAGCTCTGGCCGGGTCCGCCTGCCCGCGCCCTGCCCGCGCCCTGCCCGCGCCCTGCCCGCGCCTGCCCGCCTCGCCCGGCTCCGCTCCGCGCCGCTCCGCAGCCTCTCCGCCCCTCGCCCCGCTCTGCGCTCCGCTCCTTGGCTTTTTCTCCTCTCCTTTCGTCCCCTCGCCCCTTCTCTCCTCTCCCGTCCCCGCCTCTCTCTCTCTCTCTCTCTCTCTCTCTCTCTCTCTCTCTCTCTCTCTCTCTCTCTCTCTCTCGCTCTCTCTCTCTCTCTCTCTCTCTCTCTCTCTCTCCCCCCACTCCCTCCCTCCCTCTGCCCACTCGCCGCGCTCCCTTGCGCTCGCACAGACTCACCGCGCCTGGTCCAATTATCATATTCATCACCCGCAAGATACCACCGTGTGTGCGCGCGCGTGTGTTCCTCTCTCTGCCGGCCAAAAAGAGAGAGAGAGAGAGAGAGAGGAGAGAGAGTGGAGAGAGAGAGAGTGCAGAGAGAGAGAGAGAGAGAAGGGAGAGAGAGAGAGGCTCGGTCCCACGGCTCTCTGCACCGCGTAAGTACCTTCTCCCCCTCGCGAGTCCCCTCCCCTTTGCCAGAGTCACTTGCACTAGCTTGTTCTTCTAGAATGAGAAGGAAGAGAAAAGAGCTTCCCAGTCCCTCACACCCCGGGTAAACAATCTGCACCCCCCACCCCCGCCTCCACTTCTCTCCCAGGAGTTTAAAAAAAAGAAAGAAAGAAAAGGAGGAGGGGTGGCATTTAAATGAACCCGGGTAAAACAGCCTCCAAACAGTTTTCTAAGCCGGAGGCGCCCTCGGTGGGACTCGGCGCTGCGCTCTTCCCAGGGCCGGAGAGAGTAAGTGGTCCGCTTGGCTTGGCTTTCTTTCTCTTTCCTGCCGCTTGGCTGGGGGGTGGTGTTGGCCCTGGAGATGGGGGTTGCGGGGGACACGCTGGTGTGGCTGGACTTGTCGCCGATCTTGTCACCTTTTGTGTAACGTCTCTGGGGGTGCGAGGACGGTTTGGCTTCCCTCCCTTCTTTCTCTTCTCAGGAGAGGAGAGAGGGACAACGAGGGGGACCGGGTCGCTTTGTGTGTGTGTGTGTGTGTGTGTGTGTTCGTCTACGCCCCCCCCCGACCCCCCTCGCTTTCCGCTAAGCTCCAGCCATCTCCTCTCTGGGGTTAAAACTCCACTCCCGGAGCTCGTCCCCAGGTCCTCTCCCTTTGTCTTGTTTATTATAGCTCCCTTTCTTCCCAGCTCTTCCAATTTGCTTGTCATTTGCATACCTTTCACTTCTCCTTTTTTAACCCCAGCAGAGGGACCGGGAGTGGGGGAGGAGGGCCCGGGGAGAAAGGGTGTGTGTGTGTGTGTGTGTGTGTGTGTGTGTGTGTGTGTGTGTGGTGGGGGGGGGGAGGCGCTCTTCTTACTTTTCTCGACCACACACTGTCGAAGCTGAAATGTGGAGTGATGGGTCCTGAGCGCGCCACCCCTCTCCGGGCTGGGTGGAGCGGGGGTAGGGGTAAGGTGGCACCCAGTGCCCCAGGGGGCCTGAAGTGGAGGGATTGGGGACCTGACCAGCCGCCGCCGAGTTGGATAGAGGACTCAAGATCCGGGTGGAATAGGGGTGCGCTCCTACAGGGGATGAGTGAATTGGAGACTCTCACGGCCATCGCTGGCGTTCTGTGGTGTTGGGGCAGCTTCGCTCGGGTCTTGCCGGCTTAGCACCGACTGTGTTACCCCAGTTAGAAGGACTGGGGACTCATAAGGAGAAAAGAGGAGAGGTGAGAGTAGTTGTTGTGGAGAAGACTGAGGAAAGTGGAAAGGGGGGAGGGGGAGAATTCTCTCCTGCTTGAACAGTCAAGGTGGAAGGGGGGGGAGGGGACGATGGACATCACCCAAAGTCCCGTTTAGCAAGTTGTGGGTTCTTCTGGTGTGCCAGCCAGTCAATTCTCCTGCTGGACCTGATGGGGGTGGGGCCGGCAAAGGAGGAGTCGCTTTCCGCACCCTGAAGGGTCTGTGGACCCTTCTCGACTTCTTGGGATGTTGAGCTGCCCAGGCAGACTGAGAGTAGAAACAGGAGGCGGGGTTGGTGATTGTCTTAAATAGCCCAAGGAGTCCGGTTGGAGTGTGAAGTTGCTGTTCTTGGCAACCCCAGAGCCCTACCTGCCCGCGGGGGGTGGGGGGGGGGGAAGGCTGGGAACTCACCTGCTTGTTTTGACTTTTCCAAGAAGGTCTGTGTTGTCTCCTTAAGCTTATAAAAACAGAGCAAGCACAGGGTGGCCTCCTCAAAAGTCTCCCCCCCTTCTCCTTCCTTTCTTCCCTTGATCCCATGCCATCTCTTATAAAAAGAAAGAAAATCATTTCCTTTCTTAAACAAGGTAGGCAGAAGTCTATGAGCAGAGTGCGCATGGGCAGGGCCTGACAGGTGTGTTGTGTCAAGAAGGACAGGTGCAAATTTCCTCTGTGTCTCTGTGTGTCTGTATAGTTCCAGACCACAAGGCTCGCTTGAGGGTTGTAGAGGTTTATGAATTTATGGTTGTCCTGGTTAATAGGATTGTCTGGGCTAATGGAAATTGGGCTGCTGTTCTGTGGAGCCCTGCCATGTGAGTTCTTTGGGAGGAGGTAGGGGAAGGTTGGTATGTATTTGTTTACTCTTTTTAAGGATGGAGGCCAGCGCCTGCTAAGGCCATGTCTCAAGCTTCTGTCTGCCCTTCGGCCAAATCTACCCCCACTTCAGCAGCAGGTGGAGGCAGATTGACTTTCCCTTTGCTTCCCTCGAGTTCCCAGTTTATGCCTATCTCCCAGAGATGGGCAGGGAGATAGAGGAGTGGGGAGAGGCAAGGAGAGAAGACTCTGTGTGTGTGTGTGTGTGTGTGTGTGTGTGTGTGTGTGTGTGTCTTGGACAGCCGTCCACAGTTGTGTAACTGTCAAAATACCAAAGTCAGTTTGAAAGTGTTACTGGTGTTAAAGCTTATCTTTTAGCATGCTTTCTCTCTGCCTAGAAAGAATAGGTATGTGCATAAACTCTTTCAAGTCGCATTGCTAAATACTCTCATAAAGTCATTGTACCAGACAAGTGCCAGATGTCCTAGATAGGACTTTGATGGAGATAGAAAAATCTAAGGACACCCTAGGACACTGTGCTTTTCTATTTGGTGCAAGTTTGGGCAATCCATTCCCTAAGGTTTCTTTCAAGAACTTAAGAATATTTTCAGAGTGAAATGCAGTGTGTGCTATGAGGAGGAAAAAAAAGAGTATTCAAGTTAACCTGTGTGTGGACATGCTCATATGGTAGTAAAATGATGAAGTTAAGGACTCTGGCCTGATATGTGAGGGAAGATGGGAATTTAGTATAAGCACTATGTTTAGAATTCTTAGGACTTGACCTACAGAACATTTTTTCTTTAAATAGGCTACTTCTTTAAGCCAAGTTGCCTATGAATAGGCTAGATAACAAATAGTTTGGGTTGGTTGTTTTAATTGGTTTAGTGTTTATCATTGGTGTCTTGAAAATGAAATCGTATATATCATTTATTCTTTAAATTTAAGCATCAAAGGCCCCTCCCCCACATTTTTCTTGTATGCTTTTGAAGTTCTTTGGTTATTAAATTGTCATCCATGGCTTTGTTCATTTACTTTATTTTTAATGGAGGTTATCTGTGCTTGGCACTTATATTGATATTTTATGTGTCCATTATGCAGAATTCTATTTAGTTTAATCACCACCTTGTGGGGGGAAAGTCATGCATACATAAAATGCATCTTTGTTCACTTTTCTCATTTCCTAGCATGGGTCCTTCAGAAGCCGCATGTACACCTTACAACCCAAGCCAGGCTTTTCTCTAAGTTGCCAGACTTCCCCTTCTTTATTCAAAACTCAAAAAGGCCTTTGTCATCAATTTGCTATATCATTTCTGCCATTGTCTCAAACTTGCTATCTGAAGAATCTATGTATTTAGTTATTAAGAAAACGTTGTGTTATAGTATGAAAATGGATAATATACATGATTATCACTACAGGTTTTGAGTGTGTGTATAAATTGGGAGAGACATCTATAAGGAATGTCTCAGTCCTTATTACCTAGTACATTCTAAAGCTTCAAATGGCACTTAGAATATTTCAATTTTCTGCAAAAACAGGTGTAAGCCTATTTTCATAAGAGTATTCTCACACTTTTATTTACTTAGTTAAGTAACATATTACTTTTTAAATAAGTAGAAATCAATATTTTTGGCATGCCACAGAGAATTTTCTGTGTTCTTTCTGCAGGTGAGAAATGCACTGATTTTTTTTTTTTGTTTTGTTTTTTGCAGGCATGGAGGAATTGTAAATGAAATGGCTGTGATTTGAGAACTCGATTTTGATAGGAAATTTAAGATTCTGCCAATACAGTCTTAGTTAATTGAAGTACTACCTTGTGCCAAATAGTTTTCTTCAAAATAAATATCAAAAGCTTCCTTAATCTGTTGTAAGCAGAAATATCTTTGAAGGAAAAATTGCTAATTAAAAGGCATGAACACTTAAACATGCGGCAGGGAACAGCTTAGAGATTTTTGGGGAGGAGGGCGATAGCTAAATCAAACTATCTAATTTTCTCCACTGAACTACTGATTGTCAGACTGAATTATAGTATTCTTTGTTTATGATATCCCACTTGAAATATCATAAGTCAGTTAACTCACATTGCATAGGCCCATTCAAAGATCAATTTCTGAAAGAAGTAAAAAAGTTCAAGCAGTTTCTTCAAATCATTTTATCGACAAAGACTGATAATAATCTAAGCAGGAAACTGTGCCAAACTTACACTCTCTCTGTCTCATAAAAGATTTTTCTGAACTATCTGGATAATTACCATAATGAAACACTTCTTTGTCCAGAATCTGGACTCCAGATAGATGCAGTAAAAGTTGTATCTCCCTCCCTTTCCCCGGAATAACTTCTTTATTAAAGTGGAGCGATGAACCACTTTCTAGTTCATATTGCAGTGTTCCTTTGAAATTCTTTACTGAATATTCTTTTCTAGTAATATTAATCCATGAGCATCCTTAGAAATCTTACTTGATCATAACTTGAGGTTTGTTCTTCTAGTATCTTTTTCTTGGTGGAATCTGCTATTGTACAGAATTATCAAAGCATTTTTATAGATTAGATGCCAATTGGTACAATAAAATATTCAATATTTTAAAAATTCTGTATAGATTTTCATATTGACTAATGAAAAACTTATAGTACATGTGTATTTGATCAATAATAATTTGGATTCATTGCTACATTAGTGTTTTTCTGTATTCTTGGTGATAATTGATAATGATAACTGCTGATCAAAAGGCTTCACATTGACTAGTTAAACCCAGATTAATGTTAAAATGAAAATGCTGTGAGACTCAACTGCAATTATAGTTGAAAGATTATGATTTAGTACATGTGCTGAGAAATGCAGGAGTTTTTGAAAATCTTAGTGGACAGGAGAGTATGTTTGACAAAACACTCCTTAATATTTTCTTTAGATCATGAATTGGGAAAGTACAAAAGCAATTGAAAAACATTTCCAAGTGATTTAACTTACATTATGATTATTTGATAATGTATTTTCACACATGGTAAACATATTCATATATATCTTGTTCATAAAACATGATGGTCATAAAATATTATGTCAACAAGTTATTATTTAACCTTGCTTAAAATGGTCTTGGATTATGGTCACCTATCTTTTATTTCTCAGTTTAGATCTAAGCTATCTAAAGAGATAATAATTTATGCCTCTTCTTGTTGGATCGCATAATTTTCCCCTTTGTTTTGTCCTATCTGTCACATCTCAGCTAAAAAGAACTAAAGTAGTCTTTAGTTTTTTTAATCTTTCACATAAGAACTAAAAGTATTCATGCCTTCTTTGCCCAAGACAGAAATGAATCATTAAAATATTAACCAATAGAGAATTGCAACAACAAAAAAGATTTAGTTGGGTGAGTTTCAAGGGAGTTATAGGATAGCTTGTTCTGAACAGACATAGTGAGCATGTTCAATTAACACCTACTATCCACTGAAGGTGAAAGAAATGTGTCTTTCTACTTTCTACCCTAGGAAGAACACACTTCTCTTGGCTAGGGCATGAGTCAGGGATACAGCTGTTGATACCTAGACTAGATGAGAGGAAGTCCAGCTGACTCAGTTGGGAGAGGAAGGCTGCCTGGGTATGACCTTGTGTCCATCATTCTTCTGAATCTCCGCTACAGAGATGTTCTTCCTATACATAGCAAGAGGGGCAGAAGTAAAGTTCAATGTTAAGGTGAACAAGGAGAGAAAAGATACTGCAGGAAGTTTATTCAGTGTGTTCATTGAAAATCTATGACCTCTGCAGATGATATTAAAGAGAAAAGGATGTACACATACACACAAAAAGCACAGAATAAGCCCAAAGAATCTCCTTTGTGATACCCTCTCCCAAATGCAAATGTTGAAAATAATTCAACCCTTCTGTTCTCTCTCACACCTGACAAGGACTCCTGATTTATCAGATTTCATGTGCAAGGGAAGTATCTGCCACTACATTTTTTGTGTATTCCTGGAGCCAATTTTATTATTAGTGTACAAGGAGATGCAGTCATTCTGAATTTTGATTTTTGAATCCAATGAATAAAATCAGTCAAACCTCTGTTTCCATCTCAACTTCTGGAAATTTTATTTTGAAGTGTACAAAATGTACTTCATCTTCAAGCATACAAAACTACATAGAAAGAAACACCATCTTTCTTTCATGATGACCTAAAACTGGCTCCTTTATACATATATATATATACAACATATATATGTATATATATATAAAATCTTCATATAGACATTGAGAGTATGAATACTGCATAAGGAAATCTTAGACATGATTAAAAAAAAACATATTGTTGCCATGTAAGCACTGAGCATTTTCTTGATTTTTACAGGTTATTTCATGCTGAAATTATGCCTATTTGCATGGATAGTCATTCTTTAAAACTAGCCACAGATGCAGTCCTAGGGAGCACGTAGATGTTTTTACAGGTGAACCGAAAGAGATGGGAGCTGTTCCAAACACTCTGCACGCTGCCTTTGGCAATAGACCCTGTTATTGTGAAGATGTGCTCTGTTAAGCAAACGTGAAGTTCAATATCAGATAAGCCTGGCATGAGAAAAAAATATTTTCCTCTTTTTTCACAAAACGTTCATTGTAAACAAAAAGATGTGACATCTCACATGTATTCAAAATTTGAGGTTAGCATTGCTACCTAATAAGTCCCACAATGTGTCAATTTCCTTTGATAAAATGTAAGCAAGGTTATTCTCTCTTTATATCATGTCTCCAAGAAACAATAGAGACACTCATATACAAAGAAGGTATTTCCCTTTCTCACATATTTGATGCTGTTTTCTTTCTTTATGTATCTTCCTTTGGTTGCTTTCTCTGTTTAAGGCTTTTCTTTTCCTTTCCTTTTACTTGGCATAGGAAATAACATTGACAAATGGTATGTGTCAAATAGTTTCTGTAGCTATTTCAAGTTTAATTTTAGCATATACTAATAGATGAAAACCAGAACTGAACATGTATATATCCTCACTTAGTCTAATAATTTATTGTTCTACATTTTGATTTCTAAAATGTATCAACATCCTTCCTTTGCAGTGATTCCAACTTCTCATGATTAAAGCTAACAAAAAAGACATCATGAAAAATTACAACTATTCTCATAGTTATGTTAAAATAAAGCAACAGATACAAATCTCACATATGATCTAAGAAAAAAAAAGGCTAACTCTGCTAACTAAGCAGACATGAAAAGCTAGCATTTGTGCATTTATTTCAATGCTAAATTGACCATTTATGTTTGAAAAAGACTGGTTAGAGTGTTTGTGCCATTTCACATATGACAGAAATATTTTAAAATTCAATAACAAAGGGTGTGTGGCAAATATGTGCGTGTATTGTAGGGTCTTTTTCCTTTGGTAACAGTAAAGCCCCAGAAACTTTAATGCCACCCAAATTTCACACAGCCTCAAAAATGTATCCTTCTTTCTTAAGGACGGACCACTTTTATCTTCTTTTATAATATGACTCAATGCCCAGAATTTAATCAATTGGTTGTCATAGGCTGTGTTCTTATAATCTACTGTTTCTTCTGAAGATAAACAGTATCATTTTAGGCATTTGTGAAAGAGAATCATATTACTGGTGCTTAAGCAGTTTTTGCTTTTTTTTTTTTTTAATCTTAATCCATCTTAAACCAGTGGAGCAGAAATATTTAAAAATGTTTCATTTCAAGCAGAGTGCATAATAAATTGCAATAATTGTAATGTGCCATAAATCCCAGAGCCTATGCATTTTGCATTTGATTCAGGATTGAGGTCAGGAAATTTGGAGAAATTTAAAGAAAATGATTCATCAGTCCTTTTGTTCTGTTGGCCAGGGTCCCGGGATTCTTGAGCTGTGCCCAGCTGACGAGCTTTTGAAGATGGCACAATAACCGTCCAGTGATGCCTGACCATGACAGCACAGCCCTCTTAAGCCGGCAAACCAAGAGGAGAAGAGTTGACATTGGAGTGAAAAGGACGGTAGGGACGGCATCTGCATTTTTTGCTAAGGCAAGAGCAACGTTTTTTAGTGCCATGAATCCCCAAGGTTCTGAGCAGGACGTTGAGTATTCAGTAGTACAGCACGCAGATGGGGAAAAGTCAAATGTACTCCGCAAACTGCTGAAGAGGGCGAACTCGTATGAAGATGCCATGATGCCTTTTCCAGGGGCAACCATCATTTCCCAGCTGTTGAAAAATAACATGAACAAAAATGGTGGCACCGAGCCCAGTTTCCAAGCCAGCGGTCTCTCTAGTACAGGCTCCGAAGTACATCAAGAGGATATATGCAGCAACTCTTCAAGAGACAGCCCTCCAGAGTGTCTTTCTCCTTTTGGCAGGCCTACTATGAGCCAGTTTGATATGGATCGCTTATGTGATGAGCACCTGAGAGCAAAACGCGCCCGGGTTGAGAATATCATTCGGGGGATGAGCCATTCCCCGAGTGTGGCATTAAGGGGCAATGAAAATGAAAGAGAGATGGCCCCGCAGTCTGTGAGTCCCCGAGAAAGTTACCGGGAAAACAAACGCAAGCAGAAGCTGCCCCAGCAGCAGCAACAGAGTTTCCAGCAGCTGGTTTCAGCCCGAAAAGAACAGAAGCGAGAGGAACGCCGACAGCTGAAACAGCAGCTGGAAGACATGCAGAAACAGCTGCGCCAGCTGCAGGAAAAGTTCTACCAAATCTATGACAGCACTGATTCTGAAAATGATGAAGATGGTAACCTGTCTGAAGACAGCATGCGCTCCGAGATCCTGGAAGCCCGGGCTCAGGACTCTGTAGGGAGGTCAGACAACGAGATGTGTGAACTAGACCCAGGACAGTTCATTGACCGGGCTCGAGCCCTGATCAGGGAGCAGGAGCTGGTGGAAAACAAGCCCAAGAGAGAAGGGAACAACAAAGAAAGAGACCACGGGCCAAACTCCTTACAACCCGAAGGCAAACATTTGGCCGAGACCTTGAAACAAGAACTGAACACTGCCATGTCGCAAGTTGTGGACACTGTGGTCAAAGTCTTCTCGGCTAAACCCTCCCGCCAGCTTCCTCAGGGTTTCCCACCACTGCAGATGCCCCAGGCCAGATTCGCAGTCAACGGGGAGAACCACAATTTCCACACTGCCAACCAGCGCCTGCAGTGCTTCGGCGACGTCATCATTCCGAACCCCCTGGACGCTTTTGGCAACGTGCCGATGCCCAGTTCCACAGACCAGACAGAAGCGCTGCCCCTGGTGGTTCGGAAAAACTCATCTGACCAGTCTGCCTCTGGCCCGGCCGCTGGCGGCCACCACCAGCCCCTGCACCAGTCGCCTCTCTCGGCCACTGCAGGCTTTACCACCTCCACCTTCCGCCACCCCTTTCCCCTTCCCTTGATGGCCTACCCATTTCAGAGTCCCTTAGGTGCTCCCTCTGGTTCCTTCTCGGGCAAAGACAGAGCCTCTCCTGAATCCTTAGACTTAACTAGGGATACGACGAGTCTGAGGACCAAGATGTCATCGCATCACCTGAGCCATCATCCCTGTTCACCAGCACACCCTCCCAGCACGGCCGAGGGGCTGTCCTTGTCCCTCATAAAGTCCGAGTGTGGAGATCTGCAAGACATGTCTGACATCTCACCTTATTCGGGAAGTGCAATATCCTTTTCTTCCCCGCCACCCCCCACCCCCCAAGGAACAAACCAAACCAGGCCAGGTTTCCCCAGAGGTTAGGTTTCTAAATGATGCTATAGAGTGGGAGTCGAGGGGAGAAAGTCTTCTTAAGGAGGTGAGCTTCTCTATTGGGCATGGTAGGTTTCTGTCAGCTCTGAGTGAGGCCTTTTTCTGATAGCAGGGAAACTTCCATCCACCTCTTTGCAACTTTCAATCACTTGTTCGTCTCAGAGGGGTGGTCTTCGATGGGGGTGTTTGCTCAGCACTGTGTGTCTTTTTGCAGTGTGTCCTGTATTGGTTTATCCTCTTTCCTCTTTTCTTTTTTTTTAAGAGTAGATTCAGAAATGGAAAATCTCTCCTTGTAAAATACTGCATTTTCTCAGTTATTTTACAAAGGTGGTAAGTTTTAGTCTAGTGGCAGGAGAAGAGCCTGTTTTTAGATTCCTTGAAGAAGAATTTTCTCACTTTACACGGTCTGCAAGACCCCTGGCTCCTAATTAAATCTCATGAAGAGCCCTTGATTGGAAGGAAACTGCTGTGGGGAAGGGGCTGAAGGAAGGACCTGGGTGGGGAGCTCCATTTTGCCTTTAATCTTTAAGTGAGACTTAAAAAAAAGAAAAGGAAACATGCAGGTACTGATTTATTCAGGCGGCATCAGTGTCTCCCGTTCACCCAAGGTCTGTTCTTTGGGTCTGCTGCAGCTGCTTCTACGCATGATTAACCTCTGCTCAGCCATACACAGAAATCTTTTGTCCTAACATACACAAAGCAAATTATTTTGGAAAGCAAGAGAGCACAATTAAATATAAAACTCAGCTGTATTCGACTTTAAAATGGCTCTCTTGCTATGACTCCTTCCAATTCTGAACCTGACTTTTATGTAGAGATGACAGTTATATTTTTTAGTAGACCTATCCTGCACTCCAGCTATTTTTAGCCCCATGATTTTTTACCCCCTCTCTATAAATTGGTCGTTTCAGTAGATTTTTTAAAAATCTTGTGACTGTTAGTCTTTTAGGGTAGTAGAATAATAGCATTTGGGGGCAGGTGGAGGCATGTTTCTTGTATAATAAATTACCAGATGGATATAAAATTTAGCAATTAAGTTGGCTGTTGCTAAATTGAGGATTTTGAGCAATCGTCTTGATGACTAGAGATTGACATTTTAGTATCGAAGCCCACTCCAGAAACTGCCGTGTAAGTGCCAAGTCCCAGCTATGGTAGAAATGTTTTCCTAGGGTCATCCTCTTGAGATGGTTAGAAAAGTCATTGGTAAGGAGAATTGGATCCATTAACATGAGACCCCCTTGGGCATTAAACATGGAGGCTCGTTCCATAGTGAAGAGAAGACTGAGGTAAATGGGAAGAGAAAAATGTTAAGGTTTTACATTTGAGTCTTGGCTTCAGTGCTGCAGCAAACACCCTACCTTTGGTCCATGGCAAACAGGCAATACATTTTGGTCAATGTGATTAGAATGTACTTGTTGGTGATGAGCATAACAAAGTAACACACCATGGCTCAAATGGTTTGATTTTCACCCTTTGCAAGAAGAACATCTTTTCTAAATTCGTACCTGGATTATAATGTCTAGGCTAGACTCTTGTACCTCAAAGATCTCTGAACTTAATTTTGAAAATAGTAATAATTGCAGCTATCTCCCTCTCTTTCTGTCACTGTCTCTTGCTCACACATAGAGTAAAGGGACATGTGTGCTCATTTTCATAAATATTTGAAGGCAAGTGTCAAGTCCTACAAGTCCACACTAAACTCTTGTTCATAATATATTCTTTAATTTAAACTTACTATAATTAGGACTTGAACTCAGGGCCTGGACACAGTCCCTGAGCTCTTGTACTCAAGGCTAGTATTTTATTTGAATCAAGCCCTACTTCCTACTTTTTGGTAATTTGTTGGAGATAATAGTAGCACAGACTTTCGTGCCTGGGCTGGCTTTGAACCATGATCCTCATATGTCAGCCTCCTGAGTACCTAGGATTATAGATGTGAGCTACCAGCAACCGGCTAATTGGAGAGAGAGAGAGAGAGAGAGAGAGAGAGAGAGAGAGTGTGTGTGTGTGTGTGTGTGTGTGTGTGTGTGTGTGTGTGCCAGTCCGGGAGCTTGAACTCAGGACTTGGGCATTATCTCTGAGCTTTTGTGCTCAAGGCTAGCACTCTACCACATGATCCATAGCTCCACTTCCAGCTTTTTGGTGATAATTGGAGTTAAGAGTCTCATGTACTTTCCTACGCAAACTGGCTTCAAATTGCCATCCTTAGACTTCAGCCTTCTGAGAAACTAGGGTTATAGGCATGAGCCACTCCCTGCACCCAGCTAATTATGACTTTAAAAAAATCTTTTAGATTGCTTTAAATGTCAGCTATACTTATTGTTTTACTCCTTCTCCCTAAATCCCCTGAGGAATTTTGAGGCTTTGAATGGAAAGATGTTCCATCAATTTCTTAACATAGCAAATGCTGTAAAGAAAACACAGTTGCCTTTTCTGCACAGAACAACCTCCCCTGGTGCCCACCAACATAAGATTGTGTTGAATGGTAATTAAAGGAAGTAGCCACATTGCCTGAATTGTCCACTCTTTCCCTGGAGCTGTTTCTTTACTATGATTTGTTGCAAATAATGATTACTTTTTCTGCTTCTTTGCCCTTCTAATCTCTGGCTTTTGCTTTTGCTTTTTTAAGACATTGTACTTTTAGCCATTCATATCTTATAGCCATTCATATCTTATTTATCAGAAGAAGAAGATAAAAAAGTCTTTTTTCACAGTTCTGAAACAACTGAGAATCTCCGTGTTCTTAGGTAGATTGACCACTTTGCTCCTGTCTCTAACTCTGTATGGCCATACGTCTTCCTTGGATTATCTGATCACATATAGAATTCTACTATCTTGTCTATTTTGTCTAATTCTACTATTTTGTCTATTCAATTATAGACCAAATTCTTAAGTTTGAGGACATTTCAGGAACTCAAGTCAAGCTTTATGGAGTTTTATTTGAATGTGTTGTATGACTATTCCTAGAAAAGATCAATAGAAATAAGCAGAAATGAATGAAATGGTATCACCATGACTTGTCATTGTAATGTTTCTATTTTTATCTCATTATTTTCAAAATTGTTATAAATCATTTTTTGCTGAAGAGTAAACCTAGGTTCTTGCATATGCTAGGCAAGTACTACCATTCAGCTATGTCCCCTATCCTAAATAATGTAATTCTTTAGGCATGCTCTTTCCGTTCTCCAAAGGGCAGCATCTGTTTTTTGAACAAAGTAGCCAAGATAAGAACTACTAAGACCTTCAGCTTATCTAATAAATCCATTCTAAGTTGAGTACATTAAACATATATGTTCTAAATAATAGAGCACACTATCTCATTATTCCCTTTAGTAGGAAGGAAATCGTGTGTGTGTGTGTGTGTGTGTGTGTGTGTGTGTGTGTGTGTGTGTGTGTGTTAAACTGAATGTCAATGCATCTGGCCAAAGAGCTCATGTCTTAGAAATAAAAACTGTACTCAGTATCTTTGCAAATGAATCTCTTTAATCAAATATTAAGTTTTATTCAAATACCAAAAGAAAGACCCAGCCAATTGCTTTTCTTCATGATGTTCCTTGTCATCCATCCTCTTTGCATCTCAAGAAAAATAGCCTTGGTTAGGCCTCAGACATTTGCATGTACCCAATTAAAGGACAAGAGTAGTATTATAAGCCATTAAGATGTGCAGGTGAAGACACTGACGGTGTGACAGCAAGCTTTCCTTTACTGGACCTTTAAAAGGAATGTTAGACATACTTGAAGTGTAAAAGGAAAATTATTTAGTGCTGTGAAATTAAAGTCCAACTGGAAAACATGGATTAAACTGGAATTTCAAAAATGTATAATAATCCACAGGTTTATCTTTTACATTTTTAAGAAGCCTGTGTCACCTTTGTGATTCTATTAGTTGTAGTTATCATGAAATAATATAAATTAGAGTCTGAAAGACTATGGGCTCTTCACTGCCCCAACCTCCAGATAAAAAAAAAAAGTCAAATATTTTTTTTAATAAAAGAAATCTCCAGAAACTATAGATCCCTCTGATTATATCAAACTTCCTGAGGCTTGTAATCAAATGACAGAATTAGTATCTTGTCTCTCTTTCTAGGGAAAGCCTCTTAGAAACTGCAAAGAGGAGAAATAAGGGAAAACTAAAATTCTTTGCATGTCCAAGTGCTTTAGAAAAATGTAAGATCATCAACCTATTTGCTTAGACTGAGGCATTAACCATCAGCCACAACCCAGAGTTCAACTGGGGGGGTGGGATTTCCTCCTTCCAGCCTTTACAACCTATTATTCTTCCATTTGCCTTTCTGCTGCCCTGGCTGCTCCTCCCGCTGCCGTGTTTAGGTAAGGTTATATTGTGCTTGGTAAACAGACAACACTTAGATTCTCAGGTTGTTTGGACACTGCATTAAATTCAGCTGTACTCTTGCTTCTCGTGATCTTTTTTTTTGTATTCCTGAGCAGATGTCTTTCATTAATTTATGGATTTGTCATCTTTTCTTCCTTCCTTTCTTCTTTTCTTTTTCCTTTCTTTTTCTCCCTGTCTTTTCTCTCTTTTTTTTTTTACACCTGGCAGCTGTCTCAAGTTTCAGCAGTTATTGTCTATTTTGCATTACACATAGAATTGAATGTCATCTGTCTTCACAATGCTAAGAGAATTGAGGCAAAGCCACATGAACTGCCGGACAGATCTTGCTTGCGTCCCATCCCCCTGCCCCCACCCCCACCCCCTTTACCTCCTTAATATTTATTTGTGCTCATTTTCTTTCCTGGCCTTGAATGGAGCTTAGCTCGTGTTCAGTACAGCTGTATGTTTACTGAATCTATTCCATCATGAGTCATTGTGCGTGTGTAAGTATCCAGGAAACAGCTAGTGCTTTCTTGGAAGAACAGTTGCTTTTCAGCACAAGCACTTAAAAGGGAAATTAACCAATTGGTCAGTTCAGATTTATTTTGAGGAGAAAAAAAAAGATTATCTAGCTGTTGGCTTTTAAATGTTTCATTAGCTATTTTTAATAGTTTATTAGAAACATCTATGTTATGGGAATTTTAGCTTGATCTCACAATGAACAAAAGATAAAGATTTATTCTGTGTTCCATGTCAACCGATCGATTCCAAGTATTTCCAACAGGAAACAATTTGAAGCAAAAAATGAACTTGAGAAATCCAAATCACAGTAGTTTATTTTTTTTCATTAAATAAAACCATCTCTGAATCCTGATTTAAAAAAACTACTGGATTAAAAACAATAAAAATAACTAAACCATGTTAGCAAAATTTTGATGAACCAAAAGCCTAGGGGAAAGCGAGGGGAGTGAGTGTTGGTGCTCTGTGCCTGAGCCACAGAACAAAACAATTTGTCTTTTGTATTGGACCAAATCTTGATAGGTTTGAAGATTTACAATTACCCATATATATGAGGTTGTTTTCATGTAGCCTTCTGAAAGGAAAGATTAGAACCCAGATCTGAGGATATTTATTCAAGTTTGCACTTGTCTAAAACTCTTATCATGAGGCACTAGGAGACAGCTTGCAACTATTATTTTACTTTTCCATTTGGACAGATGGTCCTGAAGTGTGCCGTGCTCCTTTAGTTTTCTCTATCAGTCTAATGGAGGTTACTGGAGGGCCTTTCAGCTCTTTCCTTGGCACAAGAAGTATGTCAGTCATAAATTATCGTCTTTGTAATCATTAAGAACCTTAAACAAAAACACAAGTTCACTTAAGCTGCTTTGGCTTACAGAGACCAAAATCAAAATTTCTTTCTTCAGTATTTATTTTAATTTAACCCACACAGACTGTAATACTTTTCTATTTGCAAACCAAGGTGATCTTTTTTTTTCAGTGTCAAGGGATATAAAAGGAGACGTTAATTGAGCAAATTCTCAGCAGAATATTTGGTTAAACGCTCTGTTACAAGCAGTCAAGAGCTTATCAATATTAATTTGATTATTTGATTATGTGTCTCTAGTCCTTTGCAGGTTCCTTTCCATTCTGATGATTAGTCATGCTGTATTTGATGGAGAACATTGGGAAACCTTTGTTTTTCCTAAATGTCTGTGTTTATCTGATCTTTCTTTCCAAGGTGTGAAATTTTGGTTCAGTAGCTAATGGTGTGTGTGTGTGTGTGTGTGTGTGTGTGTGTGTGTGTGTGTTTGTGTACACGTACCTATACATGGACACATTTTGTTTTTTATTTTTTTTTCCACTCATTTTTCTCAAACTCTCCTTTAAGAGAAAAATCCTTAGAGAAGCTTCTAGGAAGGACCCTTAATTGACCTTGTGGGGGACCACATTGATTTTCTCCACGTGCATCTTCATTTCTGATAAATTATAAAGCCATTAATTTGCTGAGGAAATGGCAGGGCCAGGCTGCGGCACAGATGTGACCAGAGCCATCCCAGCTCGGAGTCTGCTGAGAAGTGCCAAGAATCTGGGACAGAATCAGGAAGCCTGGATTGTTATGGTTAGCCTCGCATTCTCTTGGGAACTGTTGTAGTTGCTGCTGTTTACAGATCTAAAAGGTAATGATGTTTCCAGATAAATAGGCCTTCTTATTTGGGGTAAGTGGCCATTTATTGATCTGCTAACCCACATTTATTGATTTGTTAGCCCCAACTACTATGTCACTCTCCAAGGAGTTAACTATCAATCCAGGACAAGCAAATTGTATTTGATTTTGGACGGTCGCTTTAACAAAAGCGACACCCCCTTCTCCACTCTCTCAGTGCCAAAACTACCCCCCCCACTCCAGTCTGAGCTGTAGTTTTTAAAGGCAACAATTAAAGGACATAATAATAATAAGACAGGAAGAAACGCAGTCAAGAAGACCTATACTAGGTCAGCAATAAAAGGTAAAATGTGAAACTTGCATAACCATATTGAAAATAATGTTCTTCATATTTGGACATGTCTGTAAACCACACAGAGAGAAGCGACAAACAGAGCTGTGATTGTAGAGAAGAAAGGAAATGTGACAAGAATTGTATAGTACATGCTGAGTACATTTGTCCCCCTAGCAACAGGTGAATGTATAGATAGCATAAGGATATGGAACAAAGAAAGAGAGGGAGGGCTTGGCCATCCTCACCAGGAAAGAGCTAATAATTTGCAACTAAATTCTGTGTTCACTCCATTCCTAGCAGGCAATGGACATTAAGTAAACAGTAGCAACTTAGCAATAGATTAGGTAGCTAATACTGAGGACCTTTGGGCCTATCCGGGGCTGCTCTAGACCGGTTGAGGGAGAGGATTGTGGAGTGGGAGACGGGAGGAGAACTCCTTGTTGTTTATGGAATTTTTATTCGATTTGATATTTTTTGCCTTAACCAATTGCATCCTACATGCAGGAAGGATTATCACCTAATCACTTGAAAAAAGCAAAGCTCATGTTCTTTTATACCCGTTATCCCAGCTCCAATATGCTGAAGACCTACTTCTCTGATGTCAAGGTAGGCATATTCTTTATTAGTAGTTTTTTTTCCTATATATGAACTCTCAGAACTTTCTAGGATTTGAACTTTCATAAGTTAATGGAGATGAACTTGGGATCCACTTATTAATGCACCTGTGTTGTAATTGGTTGAATACACTTGTCCTTTTGTCTAGAGGTGCGCTGAACAAACATGTCATTTGGTTTCTTAAGGCTGAAGGACTGGTTTCAAAGTCACATAGGTTTCTGGCATAGCCCAGGAAACTTAGATCCTGTCTTTATATGTTTCTATGTTTCAGTTGCTTCCTGGAAGAAATTCTACTGGTAATGGATGGATGTGCTTTCAAGAATTTTTTTTCCCCTTCTCTGTTGCATCACTAAAAATGTTTCTGTTTTTGTTTCTCTTGGTTTCTCCATATTTGCGCCTATGAAAGCAAACTCTAGCACCTCTTCCCTCCCCCCCCCCCAGTTGAAAAGGAGCGTACATTGAAATTCTCTATGCAGTAGCTGCTTAAAAACAAAAGTGATGATTGTCTCTTATTTACAACTTAATTTGTTGTTGATGTAGAGTACACTGAGCATAAGGAGAATGAATAAAGTGACAGATTCAGGACACATTATTCAAATGAGGATATGAAAGCTGTCGGCCTACAGCTGCAGCCTCCCTTATTCTACAGAACATTGGGACCTCCTGGTTCTGTGTGTGTGTGTGTGTGTGTGTGTGTGTGTGTGTGCACGCGTGTGTGCATGTCTGTGTTGTGTGTGGATTTTAAGTAATTGCATCAACTTGATGTTGTGTTAATCATCAGTAACTTTTTAAAGCATAGATTGGATTTTGATGATGATAATGACATGCGTGGTATCATTATCTAAGGAACTTGATTAACATTACATTAGCTGAGATTTAGTTTATTAGGGTTGGGTGGCTTTTCTGCACTCCTTGCCTGCTCACCCCCATATGTACAAGTTCTTATTTCTGTCATTGAGAGCATGCCACTCACCTCCCGTTCCCCTGCCTGCACTCAGCCTGTTTGTGCCTGATTCATGCCCAAGTTGTGTCCCTGGCTCCATTTTGCAGGCCTACTCATTTCAGTTCCCTTCAGGCACATTTTTATTTGGCCTTCTAGGAGAAGTTCTGTTTTCAATCCTGTTTGCTTTTGAATTGTATATCAACTTTAGCCTGTTGTTCTTTCTCCCTTCTTTAAGTGGAAGACATGTTTTGTCCTCACCCAGGGCCAACCAGTTAGTCTATGATAACAGGATGAGGAAGGCAGAGAGAAAGTCAGCAATGTAAAGAGCTGGCTAACAATCATTAAGCATACAACTGCTGAGAGCAACAGGAGGCTAAATAAAGGGTCAGTCTAGAACAGATAGAATTTGTTCACTGGTAGGTGACTGGCCAGCTTCTAGAGCCTGCTAGAAGGTGGCAGAGTTTGACTTCCAAGGTTGACTTCCCCCCACTTTGCTTCTAAGAGGAGAACATGAAAGAGAGGGAGGGGAGGATTATTGTATGTACCATGTATGTGTGTGTGTTAGCAACTTCACTCTTCTGTGTGGCATGATCTGTGGCAGTGGGATATCATTATTTATATACCACCTTTCATCCATAAGGAAGCCAAAGAGTTTTGCAAGTTGCATACGTAAGGATCTCTCTTACCCACTATTGAAGGGAAGCCACCTATTGAAGGGTAGAGACATCAGCCATTCTGAGGCAGCAGTCCCCCCCAACAAGAGATATGAACATTAGAAACATTTATGTTTTTTGTGTGCATGTTTTTGTGTGCATGCACATGTGGGGGGGGGAGGGAAGGTCAGGTGGGGAAGATTGATGATTAATCAGTGGTTTTATCAAAACTACATAATACAGACCCACAAGAAAATATTTCCATTCCTTCAGAAAACATCTAGTAAGTGAGCCTTACCCAAAAAATACTACCTATTCAGCATAAGTATCAATAAAATTCATGGGTCAATATTTTATTTTATAAAGCACTAATATTCAGATCATAGATTCTTACCCATACTTTAACTATTCTGGGAGAAAAAGGCTGTTAAAATGTATGTGAGTCTGCTTAAATAACAATTAACCAGGCTAATGGAGAGGAAACAGAAGGACATATAATACATTGTGAAAAAAATTACTGAAGGTAATTTCTCTTATTTTTGTAATGAAGTATGCATTTTAAACTTTCCTAATTATGTTTTTGTTAATCTGGCTAATAATTAATGAATTTGGATTCCCTGAGCTTGTATTGATTGAGAACAAAATACCATATGTAGAAGGGCAAAGGTGATCTGGGCAAAGTGGTCCAGAAACTTTTAGAAACAATCGCAGAGCATTCTGAGACTTCCTTCAGGTTAAGGATGACTCTGAATTTGAATGTTGACATTGTGTATGTATGTGTGCTTACATTGTATGATGTGTGTGATATACATGTATATGTATGTATGTATATATTATGCTGTGAGGTATGCATACATGTACTTTATATAGTTGCATGTGAATATGAACAGTTCTTTGTAAGGCCCACATCCTCAAGTTTTATTTTTCTCAGGACTCCAGAAACTACTCCAGGAATGAAGAAGCACTAGGAATAAGAAAAGAGACCTTAGTATTTCTATCAGAAATGAAACCTGTGTTATGTAGCTTGTGTTTGTGGACCAAGTACCGCTCATGCCAGTAACATAAATCTATACTTCATTATGTCCACATTCATCTAAGAAAATTTCTAATTTGAGTAAAATGTACTTTCCCAAAGTATAAAGCCATTTCACTTGAAATAATATCCAGAAATTAGTTTTGCACATGAAAGAAAATAAGAACAGAAAAACAGCAAAAGCAGAAACTATCTTGTTTCCTGAAGAAGAGGAAGCCTAGATGGTCATCAGAGTACAGCCAAAAATACTGCTAGATGGAGTTCATCCAGGCTCTCGCCAAGCAGTCTTTCTGTTTCTCCTAGATATGGTTGCAGGCTTCAAGTCCCCCAGGTGACTTTCACTGGGGAAGGCGTTAGATGCTTTTCAATGACCTGGGAAAGAAAGGGGTAGAGGAAAATCATACAGCTTAGAGATGCTGGCCCAGTATCCGTGCATACAAAGCCTGAACCCCAGGCCAACTCCGTGCAGCTTCTCTAGAGTAAGAATCTGAACCAAGTTCTGTGTTCTCACAGAGAGTCCAACTTAATTCCCTCACAATGACATTTAGGCAGACAAAAAGCTCAGCTTGTTGGGGCTTCAAATCCTTTGAGAAAAGCAAGTGCACAAATGTGAGAGAGATGCTTGGGGGCTCATGGGTGGCACTGCCTTCCTGTTCAGTACTGGGTGCTGATTTTAATGTATAAACTAATAACTCCTAGGCCACTAAGTACAACAGATTCAGTGTCATTTCAGCTTTGAAGAACAGACGCTCCCAGCCTTTCAAGTCGGCAGTGTTAAATGATGTATCTCGTCCTCTCCACCCCTTGAGTCAACTGCTGCCTGGCCGGATTAAGGTGTCAGGTTGATTTGTTTTATACATCTTTTGACCATGCTCATTGAATATTTAGGAAGTTTCTCCAGCCCATATTGAGGCTGAGATGTCCCGTGGGAAGCATTAATCAAAGTCACAGAGACCCGTACACTGTAGAAACACAGTCTCTTTATTGTAGCGATTAGTTTTTGCAGTAACACATTAACACACTACAGAGCTTGCCTTTATAGAACAATTGATCCTTTTCTTGTAAGCCACTACAGAACACAGCAAATTAACTCTTTAAAGTTTAACACTTTTCCTCTTCTGATACAAATAATCTAAAAGACAGAGGGCTTGCTTTAGCCACTTAGGAAAAAAGCAAACAAGCAAACAAATTTCACTTCTGGTCGAGGGAGACTCTTGTTCCTACATCGTTGGTGCTGGTCATTTGGCTTGGATCATGTTTGGGGAGGCTGTTGTTTCTGTCCATTCTTTCTCTCTGGTATTTCCATTCTCCAACAATAAGCTTTAAATCTCCCTTTATGTCCCATTCGTAAATAATGGCAAGTGCACTTACTTTTTTGTCCTCCCCCATTAGGTCATTCATGACCATTCTAGAAAAAAAAAAATACCCCTTCTATTTTTTTCCCCTCTACAGTACTCTTGTCCATATGAGACAATGTCTTGTAACAATGCAGAAGCCTAATCTCCATGTCAAAGCAATTTTCATTCCCCAGTGCACAGCCTGCTATCATTTTGTAATGTTTTGTTTCTTATTCTAAAAGAATTAAAAAGGAACAGTAAGCCGTCACGGGGGCCTGTAGTCCTTATCTCAGTGTCTGGAAATTTGGACAGTGTATTTTACTGCTGAGATAAAATGGAAAGAACTCCAAGTTCAGCAAATCGTAATGGGTTTAAGTTCTATTGAAATCGGCAACCAGAAGATCAGATAACGGGGTCCTTCAGTTGTCTTTTTAATCGGGTTCCCCGCGAGGCTGAATAGAGGCAGAGCAGACACACAGAGTAAAAATATAATTCTTGGATAGGTTAAGTACATGTTTGAACTCTTGCAAGCAGAAGCGATTTGCTGATGACTTAATCATTTTCTGGTCAATTATCTGTAAGGGCCCTTGCAAGTCCATGGCAATTATGATGCAAGTTGGCCTTTTGGGAGAAACACCAGTCTCCTTGCTTCTGTTTCCTTGTTACTTGTATTCTCTGCCATAAATTTTCATTCATTTATTATCATTGCTAGTATAGAAACAACTTTCTGTGTAGTAATTACAGCCCCCATACACACTTTAGCTGTCATCTTGTTGGAGTCTGGATGTTCTCATGGCTACTATTTGATAAGTGCTCTTTGTGGATTTTTGATGAATGTACATCTTTTTTGTTTTTCTGGGGGCCCAGGAAAGGGGATGCCTCTGATGACAAAAGGCAGGGGGGTGTCTGTCAGCCTGCTTGACATAAAGCTATGGATTTATTGGTTTTGACTTGGCAAGTTAAGACACATCTGTCCTTTACGTGAACAGAGGTCTGTCAATAAGGATGGTATCATTTGCTGTGCATCCAGGAAGACATCTTTATTTCAAAGGTCACCGGGAAACCTTGGTAAACAAAGTTTGAAAGCCTAATCATGTTATAGTAACTTGGCATTTAAAAAAATGTAATAAAGGTTCTCTCTAGGCCATCTGTGTACTGTGTCTTAACTACACCCCCCAAATGGCACAGACACCAAGGGAAAGGGCCATCGGTCCTAGTCAATGCTGCTCCAGGGAGACAATGAGCAGGTAGCAGGGTATTTTCCCTTAGCCATGGATGGAGGACTAGACCACACCAGAAAATAACATTGAGAAAACATGTGAAGTAATAGCTAAATGAGCCTAGGGATCACCCATGACTAGAAATAAATAAATAAATAAATAAGCAAAAACAGATTCATTGTGTTTTGTTGGACAGCCATTTTCTCTAAGTGAAGAAGTCTAGAATGGGATGACATGAATCTTCACTTTTATAAAAGAGTAGAACTGGAGCTATCATTCAGTGGTAGTGCATCTAGCATGTGTGAAGCCTTAGATTCAGTCCTCAGCACTGCACACACACACACACACACACACACACACACACACATGCACGCATGCAGGCATGCACACAGGCACATACACACATACAAATGCACGGCATAGTAATCACATGGTTCAACTTATAGCCTTTTATTTCTGAGAATAACAAGTCGTCCAGAATTCTATAGTGTGAGTGAATTTCCATAAGAAGTATACAGATGGCTGTGGTATAGTGGACATGCCTAGACTCAAAATATTCTCCCAGCACTGGGGAGACTGAGGCAGGAGGATCTAGATTTCAAGGCCAACTTGAACTCTATGGCAAGACTCTGCCTCAAAAAAAAAAAACAATAATAACAAAGAGTATACAAATGTAATCACTCTACTGAGAGATAAAGAACAATTATCTCTTTAATTAAAGATATTCAGCTTTAGGAAAACCTGATTTAGCAAGGAAGTAGTCTAGTTGATGTGTAGCTACTTGTGATTATTTTCATTACCAATATTGGTGTTTTTTGCCAATGTTTTTTATTGTCATGGTGATGTACAGAGGGGTTACAGTTACATAAGTAAGGTAATGCTATCTCCCTTGCTGCCATTTGGTAAAACAAAATGCATACCTTTTCAAATAAGGCAGAGAGGTGAACTTTAAAGATACTCAGACACTTAAAAAGTAAATGAACAGCCAAATGCTGCTGGCTCACACCGTAATCCTAGCTACTCAGGAGGCTGAGATCCAAAGCTTACGGTTCAAAGCCAGCCCAGGCAGGAAAGCCCATGAGACATTTTTGTTCAGTTTGTAAAAATCTTTATTGAACCTTATATTTAAGTCAAAGACTTCTTCCAGGTGCTAATTTACAGATTTGAGCTTGTATCTGTAGTCCTTGTTGCTCAGGAGGCTGAGATTTGAGGATCAAGGTTTGAAGCCAGCCTGGGCAAAAAGTCAGTGACACCCATGAGACTCTTATCTACTGATAAACTACCCTCCCCCAAAAAGCCAGAAAGAGAGTTGTAGCTTAAGGAGTAGAGCACTAGCCTTGAGCAAACAAAGCTCAGGGACAGTGCCCAGACTCTTGAGTTCCAACTCAGAGGACATGCACCAAAACAAACAAATAAATAATAAATAAATAGAATAAAATGGCAATATTCTTATCTCTTTTTTCAATGTTTAAATTTAACAGTTCAACAGATGCATTACCTCTCAGCTCATCAAGTGGTTTAGCAATTTCCGTGAGTTTTACTACATTCAAATGGAGAAGTACGCACGTCAAGCCATCAATGATGGAGTCACCAGTACAGAAGAGCTGTCCATCACCAGAGACTGTGAGCTCTACAGGGCTCTGAACATGCACTACAACAAAGCAAATGACTTTGAGGTAGGAACTAATCTTCAACTTGGGTCATCTCTGCTTTCCTTAAAAAAAAAATATCTATATCCATTAGTAATGTCCCTAAGCCTACTTTTGTGATAGTTACTTCTGAAGCATGCAACATGAGAGTGAGCAGGAGACCAGCTAAGAGGAACTTCCCATCAGAATCATGGGAAGCTGACACTAACATTTCTGGTCTCTATTTGCTGGCTTCTGAGCTTGTGTGGAAGAGAAAGACCCACTTGGCCAAAGACAAGGGTAACAGGGAGAAAATAAAGTGATTTCCCTTTCAAGGAAGGGCTCCCTGTCCAATAGGAGCACATTTAGATTCTGAGATGTCCGTTGAGCTGATAAATGCTATGTGCAATCGTAGCTACAGAAGTTGTTTTCCATGGTTTCTAACTTCAACATTTATTTATTTCACGGAGGAAGTGGTAGGAGAATGTCCTAAGTCTATAGCATTTCCTGTATAGATGTAAACAATCCAGTAACATCTTTTTGTCTGCTTTATTTTATTTCTCTTCCGGCTGTGTGGGGAAGAGAGGCACATGTTTTGTTTTGCGCGCACAGACCTTTCCAAGCTTGTGGCACTTCAGCCATATACTCCTGTTCACTCTTAGCTATCTCTACAATGTGCACATTCGAGATATGTGCGCACCATGTAATATGGACAATTCCCAGGAAGCCATCTCCATGCCACAATGAAAGTTGTGCAGCTATGAGTAAGGCATTTCTTTATAGGCAAATGCGGTGCCTCAGCAAACAGTTTTTAACGCCACATGACTCTGTGAGACAGCACGAGCAAATCCCCCAGCACTCACGAAAGCATTTTGCTGAGTCCCACAGGCTGAGCCAACAATAGTGGAGTTGGGAATACCGCAAGAGTTCTGCAAGCCAAACCCCAGATGAGGAGAGTCAACAGGGGGTGGCTTGTCAAAGTTGGTCCATTTCTTGTGACTTCTTGGCTACGTGTTGGACCGGTCAGGGCAAGAATTTTAATCTGCTTATTCCAGGGAATTTCTGTTAACATTCCTGTATCCCTGTTATAGATAAGTATCCAGGAGTGCTCAGGAGCTTTTTAAATTTTGAATGAGAAAGGGGCCATGGTTTGACCATGCTGGCCCATTTTTTTGAGGCCTTTTTTCTTCCCTATGGTCCTAGGCAAAACTGGCTAATAACCATCAGTTGTGGTAACTTACAAGGAACTGAGTGTGAAAACTTAGAAATGGGGAATTCACACTTTTGATAAGCTTGTTAATCCAAAATGGTACTGAATGTTTTTCTTTAAGTGAACTCACTAAAGGTAGAGATTTGGAGAATTTGTCATCTACTCTTTCAAAACCTGTCTTTTTCAAGTCTCATTTATAACAATATTGGTTTCCTATGTGGACAGACTGTGAGGAGGTTTCTTCCATAGCTAAAAATGGAATCATAGTTCAACTTTTTAAAGACTTCTTATTTAAGAGCTTTCACTTTTCCTTCCTTCCTTTTTTGGCAAGTCTCTTAATCTATACCTAAGAGACGTCTACAGTGTGTTAGTGAATTGTTTACACTGTGTTGTGATGTAAATATTTATCGAGCTTCATTAAGGAATGGCCCAAAGGACCATGTAGTTCATGTAGTTCAGCTGTACCGTGTACTCAAGGGGATCCATCCTTAAAGTGCACATTAGCATTTTCAGTGGGGTTTAAACCTTACCTGGTTGGAATTTAATCTCCCACTTTCAGCACAAGGACCATAATGACATAAACAGGGGACACTTGCATCAAGAGGTACCCGACAAACGGCTCCATTTAGCCTTCTCTAAATCCTCCTTAATATGATTAACATCTGATATTTCTCTATTTGTGAATCATATCCACTTCCAGCCAGGCCACCTCTCCTTTATCTGCAGTGTCTATTTTAAGACGGCTCCACTGCAGGGACAACGGTGCCTGGGAAGGAATTTTGTCACTTCTCATGTGACTTCAGACAAGTTCTTGCACTATTCTGGGCCTCATGCCTCCTTCACTAAAATCCACATCTTCCCAGAAATGTGAGCAGCAGGACCTAGGAATATGGTCTGTGCTCTATCCCTTTCACATCCCCCCCCCCCCACACACACACATAGCACACAGACAAGCCCATGCGTACTACACTGCCTGAGATCCACGACCACTCCATAGTTTTCAATTTAACCCCTTCAGTTTGGCACGTTTACTTACAAAAGTTGCAGATAAGGGGATCCCTCCTTTTCCGTGCTTTTCAGCAAGGAGGTCACTGCTCAAGTGAGATACTTAAAAAACCACCCTTCTTATCATTGTAGCTTTACCAGTGTGGGTGGTGGCTGCCAGCCAAAAGTAGACCCAGCACCTCCAGCCAAATACCTCAGCTGATAGCTAAGTTTCTCCTCCTCAGATTAAGTGAAATAAGCCGGTAGTTTTAATATGCACAAGGGAAGAAGATGGCAAAGCAAAGGCCTGTATGCCTTACTACTTAAAAAAAAATTAAAATACAGATGAAGCACAATAGAAAGTCTGAAGTTAGGCCTTCTTATGTAAGCATAGGATTCAGTCAATTGCCAAGTGATCTATTCACCCACCTGATTATTAACTGATCAGCATCTTATTGATTGCATCTTTACTTTTTTTCAATCTGTTGTTTATAGTGATAATAAAATGGCTTACTTACTTATGTTCCAGGCATTCTTGACATCGTTTCAATAATATTAACTTATTTAAAATAGGTAGCAATAATGACATGGATACTAATAAAATAGCAAGGTTGCCTTGAGCTCTACTAGTTTTAAAGTTAGTCTAAATGGGAGGGACCAGAATAGCCAGGGAAGAAGGAAAGAGTTGAGGAGGGGGCTTCAGCTTTTTTCCTTCTTCATGAGCTCTTTTTCCTTCCTTTCTTGTCTCTGCGCCTCTTAGCTTCTTGCTGCTCCTTTCTGTCCTCTGCCATAGTCTGCCATGGTACCTCTGTCACTGCTCAGTACCATCCGTGCTCAGCCACTGCTGCTGATGGCTCTCAAGGCTACAGAGGTTGCTGACCTCTGGCCTGGGGGAAAAGAAAGCAGATGGAGAAGGTTTATCACAGGCTAGGAGGGAGTGGCCTGAAGCTCTCTCCTCTTCTGGACCCTGCATTTCCTGGTCTTTATGAGTCAGGACCTTCTAAAGTGACAAGAGAGCTTGCTCTGTCTTTTGTATCAGTTTACACAATTGCTAAGATTCTTGGCACGGCATCCAGATTTAGGGTGATGAGAGTTTGAGACGACCCAGGGGATGTGGAAGAAGACACGAAGAGGGATAAAACAAAGTGACACTTTTAGTTTGTGCTGAAGAGGGGGAAGATGGCTGCATCAGGCAAGGTGGGGTGGGAGCCTGGCTTCTGAACCTGCGTTTGCAAAGTTGTGCAAGGGAGAAGTGTTCAGTTCTGGGCTGCATCTTTCACTCCTGCTTCGCACATTTAATGAGATTGGCAACAATAAATTTGTCTTTCCAGGTGTTATGGTATATATTTCCATGCTTCGCTCTCACGTTGCTTTGAAGAGCTTCCAATTTTTTTCTTTTTTTCTTTCTCTTTCTTTTTTAATAGAGAGGGAAAGGACGTTTGGCGTTCCTTCCTGGTTTTTAGGTCGTACTGATCCTTCTGACTTTAGGAGCATATGAGCTGGATTTTTGTTTGTTTGTTTTTTTCCTTGTCTATTGTAGCAGAAAAGGAAGGGGCTGATTGCTGTCAGGTTCAGAGACCAGTTTACCAGTGAAGACTTCAACTAAGGCACCTGACTTGTTTAACTTACAATTTTTTTTTAATTGCCTAATTTAAGGAGTCAAAATAATCTAGGTTAGTCTGCATTACCCAGGTGAGGTCACTTAATAGTGTACATCTAAGAAAGGCAAATGTCTAGAGGTTGAGGAGGTTTGGGATGGCCTGAGTAAACACTGAGACGAGAATGTGATAAACATTTTCATCCAGGCATACAGAGTCTCTTTCTCCTTCTGAGTACCATGGAGTCACTCTTCTGCGGGGCATCCTTCACAGGCCCTTAAGTGGCTAGTCATTTACCTATAGGCAGAAATCCAAGTTCCCAGTAACAGTGACTAATCTCCTTCGTTCTCACTGAGGCCCAGGTTCAGAGGTGGAAGGCTTGGAAATATACAGAATGAACTAGAGTTCTTCATTAGTGGGCTTATAAAGGTCATTTTCTATCATTCTAACTGGAGTACATCTCATTGGGCTGAGGTTCTGTTATCGACTCTGGGTTTGTCATGTTCTCGGTGGCATGTGACAGGAAAGAGAGGGTATTTCTGCAGACCTCTTGCGGGATTTTCTTGAAAATAGAAAGTTAAAAAGTAGCATCCCTGCCATAACCCACCCACCCCAACATGTGCATTTAGTAATATATTCTCCCCACTGGGCTCCCCTCCCCTTACTCCTACTTTTAACCAAATCCACATTTAAGAAAATTGAACATATTTGGAAATCTTTCATTCGCACTGTCATCTCTTTAAAGAAGAATGGAGACAGGTGGATTAGGGAAGTACTTTCCCTCTGCTCTAAATACTTAAATATGAGCGATCATTTGGCAGACAGGCACCTGAGCGAAGACCTTTTACTGTGGTTGCTGTCTGCTGTGGGCCTCCAAGCTGCTGAGGCCTTTAAAGACGCTCACACCACACACTCATGGTGGGTGGCGAAGAGGAAAAGAAACACTATTTCTTCCCTTTGCCAGTTCCAGCATTGACAAGCCAAATTGATCTTTTAAGAGACGAAATGAATGTTCTCTAAATATATGTACACACATGGCTGTCTGGGAACATATTCCTTCTACAGAACGATTGCCTGAAATTGGAGGAGGGAACACGCCAGGCCAGGCCATGTGGGGCTGGAAGTGCAGCTGAAGAGCTAGGGGAGGGAGAGGGGAGCACCCCCCCCCCCGAGTATGGATGCACCAGGCTTCATTTCTATACCGCTGTCCTTTTGAGATGCAAGGTGTTCATCAGTATAATGAAGCGGGCCCATTG